CTTTACCCAGAAGATAGCGTAAGTACGTAGGGTTGGACTTTACCGAGAGAGTGGCGTAAACACGTAGGGTTGGACTTAAAAGATATAAATATTTTTTAACGGTATAAATAAAGGATATGGTTTTTCGTGCAATTTCATTTCGATGTTTATCATGAATTCTTCCCAAGGAAAAGAACAGATATTCGGCGCGGGCGGTTTAACTATGGGTGAATTTGAGCCGTCGGAAGTTAGGAACTTATGTCATTTGATGGACGCGATATTTGCAGAGGCTGTTTCCAGCGAGGTTGGAAAAGTTTGCAAAGAGAGATGTAGAGGTTGTGAGTTCGATAGTCCTAGTCAGAGGAGACACGAATGTATAATGTTGTCGGAAGAAGAAAGATGGGAGATGCATGGTTTGGAGGCCGTTGACCAGGTGTTTCGGCGCGGAATACTTTGGAGAGAATTTATTGAGGCTATCCGTGTGATGAGATTGGATTATAACGAGTACGCAGCAAAACATTTTGAAAACCTCAAGAGAGACCGTGAGGCAACTTTTAACTTTCTGATGGGTTTGAGGCGAAGTTCAGGCTATTCTGAATACCAGCCCATTTTAAATTATCTCTCTTACTGGATTAATGATCATTAAGTGAGGACAATGTGACTGAATTGACATTTTTCATTTAATTTTACTACGCTAAATGTTATGAACCGTCTATATTATTATACTTGTATTACTTCATTTTACTTTCATTTTTTTACTGTTCGTCCAAGAATGATATATCGAAGTTCTCGATGGCGTCCCAAAACCTCTGTTCAGGAGTACCATGAACTTTGATTCCCTCAAATTGAAGCACCAAATCGATGTTCTCCCTCATCATATATATGTAGAAGTCTACGTATTTCTGCAGCTTTTCTTTCTTTTTGTGGTAGTTTTTTCTCGATCTTTCGGCCTCTTTTTGTTTGCGGTTCATTTTGCTTTGACTTGGTTGATTTTACCAACTATTTTTATACGCGTGGGGATTATGCAACCATTGTTAACAAATGCTCATTAATTTGATAAGAATGGTATGATTTTATGCAAATCGGTACCACGCTTGTTAACGGCGCCTCAGATGTCGTATATATGCCGAATCTAAATATGCCCAAACTAATATTAATGAGCTATAAAGTCTTTCTTTAACTTCCTATGCATTCAATCGGTATATAAAATAGGGGGTTTATGTGACCACACATCCCGTACGACACGATTTAATCGTGTAGAATCAAAAACATTTGCATCACGAAATAGTTATTATATTTTAAGCGTATTTACGCATGGCAATGATGATTTACATGAACAGATATTCTGCACGAGTGACAGCGTATTTACGCATTAAATTAAAGATACATGACTGTTGTTCATCATATGAATTATCAAGCGCCTTAGGTGTCAGGGTGTGTGCGTATGTACGCATTCCTGTGATATTATGTACAAACAAACTGCTGACGTTTAAAAACGGATTATCACGAACTGCATGATCGTGAGAGTATAAATTTAGGTTACAATAAAGGCAAAATTATCAGTTACACAACATTAGGAAGAGGACGTTGAGAGTTTTCGGTTTACATCTAAAGGTATGAGTCTTCCCTTTTTGCGTTTTTTATCTTCTTGCATTTAACGTTGTAAATCACTCAATTAAAGATTGTTTCGTCAAACCACACCGCTTGTTTTTCTGTTTAGATATGAATGTGATAGATAAAATATACGAGAGTCAAACGGTTGGTCAACTTTCGGAGTTGGAAAGACGTTATATCTTGACTGATGTTGAGAAGGAAATACTTTCCTAAAAAGAAGGCCGACATTTTAAGTCGCTTGATGCGATGGAGGGTGGAAAATGTTCGTCTCGGTATCGCTGCGGATCTTACAGATTCTTGGACCCTAGAACAACGCCAACGATTTTTGGAGGATTGGCAAGACGACGATTTATTATCACAAAGTGACATTGGGGAGCTTGCTTCAGGGTTTACCGATACGCTTGAACAAGGAGGAAACGTGTTGCCAAATTGGCAAGATGACAGATCTTTGTCACAGACTGGTCGCGGACAGAAAAGAGCCGTCGACGTAATGAATGAGGGCGCGAGCACATCAAACGAGGTTAGCGACAGTAATTATTTTACCCTGACAAATGTGAAGCAAGTATATGTTAAAAAGTTTAAAACCAGTGGTGTCGATTACGCTGTGCAATTTAAGGATACCTTTGCTAATTTGGAACTCTATCAATTTCATAATCAGCTGCATGACATATTTGGGGGCTTGCTCAGGTCCATTACTCAGAATATTCCAGAGCACGATCAAGTTCGTTTTGTGTTGCAATCGCCTCAGCTTGAGACTCCTATTTCTCTTCCATTCATGTCACGTTCTCGTCTTACGACCGAACGCGTTTTAGCTGAATTTGAGCGTGTCGTTCAATCTAATCGGGAATTTCGTTTGAATGATAGTGTTAATGTCAATTTAGTTCATGTTGAAATGCCGAATGGGGGTACCGGTTCAAAACGTAGTGAAATTAATTTGGAAAAGCATTTAGACCGGAAAGGTTCAATTATTCGAATTCAAAACGCAGATAACATTTGTTTAGCTAGGGGATTAGTTGTTTCTATCGCCAAAATTGATATCGCCAAAATTATAGTCGATCATCGCTGGCCAATGCAAACACAATTGGCGTACGAATTGCATGAAAAAGCTGGAGTCCCAATTGACGCATGTGGTTTAGATGAGGTGAAACAATTTCAAACCTATTTGTCTGATTATCAGATCAATATCGTTTCGAAAGAGCATCAAAATATCATAATCTATTCCGGTCCCGAGAAAGACAAACGGATTTATTTGTTTTTGCACAATAACCATTACGATGTAATTACCAGCATGCCGGCCTTTTTTGCTCGGAAAAAGTATTGCCATACCTGTAAAAAGGGGTACGATAAATTGACTGATCACTCATGTCCCGACTCGTGTAAATTGTGCTATTTTTCAAATTGTCCAATTGTTTCGTGGGTTCCCTGTGCTTGTTGCATGCGTGTTTTTAAAAGTCAGGAGTGTTTTAACCGACATAAGCAATCTGTAGGCAACGCAAAATCAGTGTGTGATTCTTTGGTTAAGTGTCTTCATTGTGATCTTGTTGTAAAACGGAGTAGGCTGAGGCGTGATTTGCATCACTGCGGTGAGACTCGTTGCTCTACGTGCAATACCTATGTGCAAACTGAAAATCATCAATGTTATATGCAACCCGTCAGAGAGGTAAACACCAGAGACATAAACGATGAAGCGAACCTTCTTAATACAGAGGCGAACGATGAAGAGAACTCGCCTCAAAGCGGGTACAATCAACTCCTATTCTTTGACTTTGAATGTCGACAAGAAAACGGAAATCACGAACCCAACCTATGCATAGTGCAAAACGAAGCGGGAAACGAATGCGTATTTAAAGGCGATAATACAAGAAATGAGTTTTGTGAGTGGTTATTTACCAAGGAACATGCGAACTGCATTGTAGTAGCACATAATTTTCAGGGTTACGACGGGTATTTTATTCAGCAATTCCTACACCAAAACGGCGTGATTTTCGATCTCATCACAAGAGGTGCCAAAATCCTTACATTGAATGTCCCGTTGTTCAAGATTAAATTCATAGACTCTCTCAGTTTCATACCCATAAGACTTGCTGATTTTCCGAAAACCTTTGGTCTCAATGAGCTTGCAAAAGGTTATTTCCCTCACCTTTTCAACAAAAAGGAGAATGAGAATTACGTTGGGCCAATACCTCCAAGTCCATTTTACAATCCTGACGGAATGAGTCCTGATGAAAAAGAGACGTTTTTGGAATGGCACGGTAATATGAAAGAAAACCATTACGCGTTCAATTTCCAGCAAGAAATTCAAACCTACTGTCGTTCAGATGTCGATATTCTACGGCGTTGTTGCCTTGAGTTTCGCGAACTGTTTCGTGATGTTACAGATATCGATCCGTTTGAGAAATGTCTCACCATTGCATCAGCATGCAATTTGGTGTTTCGAAAGAATTTTCTGAAAGAAAACACTATTGCCATCATCCCACCTCACGGTTATCGTCCGAAAGACAAGCAATCGATCCTGGCTCTAAAGTGGCTAACCTATACTGCCGAAAAGAGTGATATTTACATCCAACATGCCCGCAACGCTGGTGAGAAACGTGTTGGTACTTATCTACTGGATGGGTATCATGAAGAGACCAACACAGCCTATGAAATCAACGGTTGCTTTTGGCACGGTAAGTTGTTAACGTCATCATTTCTTTCTTTGCTCATGTCTAATATTTTGTTTATTAAACTTTTGCAGGATGTTTAAAATGTTATGCCAGAGATACGGTGAACAGTGTTAGTGGTAAAACCATGCATGACCTGCATCAAGCTACAATGGAAAAGACGTGTTACCTCAGAGATCAGGGCTTCAAAGTTGTCGAAGTATGGGAGTGTGACATCAAGCGAGAATTAGAATGCAGCGAAAATATGAAAAGTTCCTTTGACAGTTATGACTTAATTGATCCTTTGGAACCTCGTGATGCTTTCTTCGGTGGTCGAACCAACGCTGCCAAACTATTTCACGAATGCAAAGATGGCGAAAAAATAAGGTGTAGTATAAATCTTTGAGTGAAGTACAAATTAAATATACAACTTTATTGTACAACTATTAACGACTTTTTATTATGACGTCATGATGACGTCAGCTATTTAGATTTCACGAGCCTATATCCCTGGGCAAATAAAATGACGCGAACAGTCGTCGGTCATCCTCATATCATCACAGAAAATTTTGACGAAGATATCTCCAATTACTTTGGGTTGATCAAATGTACAGTTCTGCCACCTCGTGGTCTCTTCCACCCTGTCCTGCCTTATCGTACCCAGGGGAAGTTGATGTTCCCTTTATGCAAGTTATGTGCTGATACGTGTAATCAATCCCCATGCACCCATTCCGACACAGAAAGAGCTATTCAAGGAAGCTGGTGCAGTGTGGAGTTGGAGAAAGCCTTGGAGAAAGGTTACGTAATTCTGAAACTCCACGAAGTATGGCATTTCCCACAACAATCTGATGAACTGTTTAAAGATTATATCAATACGTTTCTGAAAATCAAACAAGAAGCGAGTGGTTACCCAAAGAATTGCACTACAGAGGAACAGAGACGCCTTTATGTTGAGGAGTACTACGAGCAAGAAGGAATCCGTTTGGATCCGTGCAAAATCGAGCATAATCCAGGGCTGCGTGCATTGTCAAAATTGATGTTGAATTCATTTTGGGGTGAGTATATTGCTACAAACTTTGCCGTACCCTCTAAAGGATTTTTTTTTTCTGATCAGTAACCTATTTTGCGTTGTCTCATATATTTTTTAGGCAAATTTGCACAACGTCCCAACATGTCAAAGGTAGAATTAATCGCAGACCCCCAAGTTTACTTTGACTACCTAACCTCGGATGAAATCAATGTTCTTGACGCAAATTTTGTCAATGATGAAGTGATTGAAATCCACTATGAAAACAACGAAAATTTCATCGCGCCAAATTCAAAAACGAATGTTGTCATCGCTGCTTTCACCACTGCCTACGCTCGCCTCAAACTCTACGATGTTCTGGATCAACTTCAGGAAAGAGCGTTGTATTACGATACTGATTCGGTGATCTTTGTCAGTAAACCCGGTGATCCAGAGCCTCCTACGGGTCCGTACCTCGGCGAACTTACAGATGAATTAAAAGGAGACTACATCACCACGTTCATTTCCGGTGGCCCTAAAAATTACTGTTACCGCACAAATTCGAACAAGGTTGAAACAAAGATACGCGGTATCACATTAAATTGCACCGCTAGGCAAAACGTTAACTTTGAGGTGATTCGTGCTTTGGTATACCTTCATGCAAAATGTAATGTCGCAGGGCAAGTATCCGTAGATATCCCATTCAAGATTACTCGCAACACCAAAACAAAAGAAATAGAAACCAAACGCATGAAAAAGGACTACCGTATTGTTTATGACAAACGTGTTATTATTGATGAGTACAAAACACTTCCATACGGATTCTAAATGTATATATTCTATATTGTCTTTATGTGTTTTATGTTTAAATAAATGTCAAAAATAAAGTCTGGCAGATTTGCTATCTTATCATGAGAGTATTTTTTTCTCGATTATTTTACACTTAAACGTGTCCCCTGCTTTTCGGATAACCACCATTTTAATTCGTTTGTGTATCGTTGTATGGTTAGTCCTTCGCTTGAGCTTGAGTTTCCTGATCTTGTGCAGTTTGGCTTTTCTCTCGTCTTTAACATTTTTCTTCTTTTTAATAGCCCTTTTACGTAGATCATTTTCCCCAGTTGATTTCGAGCATAAAACCTCTTTCTTTGAAGATGCTTTAGGAGACATCGTTTTGTGTGCACACTTGGCTGGCATATTGCAAACTGAGGATTCGGTTTAAAATCATGTCATTTTATGATCTTCGCGATCACAGCGCTTATTACAAAAACCTAAAAGTCTCTTCTTTTAGCATTCGTCTTCGATCTGCACAAAAATTACTTCTCCAATCACCACGCGTATATTTGAGCAGTCCGGTGTCTACACAGGGTTTAATGTCCGTTAGGGTTTCGATAAAAGCCTCCGTGACCTTTGTCTCTGAGATTTTGACAACGCCTCGTCAAAATACATGCATAACTGTTCGTCCTTTTCCATAGTGATACATTGATGATTTTCTGAGATAAATTTTCCATAACACATCCATCACAATTTGCAACCACTAGTTGAGATATCATCATTGATATCTCTTTAGCGTAACACTTTAGCAGTTTGTTTTCGATACGTCTCAGACGATGACGTAACATAAACGTTTTGTTGTCAATGTCCAGAGGTTTGTATGGAGACATCTTTCTTTCACGGCTCTCCAGACAGGTTTGAGGTTTTTTAATGTTGCAAATGTTTTATACAACAGTACAACGTCGACATATTCAGTGCCTCAGCAAGAGCCGTAGTGTAACATGGGTAATTCCTTTCGAAAAAGTCCTAAGATCAACAAAGATCACAACAGACAAAAGATGTTTAGATTGGGCATAAGTTTCGGTCGCAACGATCTTAATCTTGAGGGCATTTGCAAATGGGTTATAACAGTAAAACCATTAAAAACTACAAGCCGGTTGACAACGCGGAACAAGACATTGTTCAATTGCACAGTGAGACGCATGAAAGTATTGAAAACGCCGAAGAGTAAAAGTCAAACCCTCATTTCACGCCTGAACATGAACGAATACTTATCTAGCGTTTATTATGATCCTAAACGATCTGGAGGGTTTGGTGGGTGGATCGTTTATATAAAGACGTTAAAAACGAAGGAAAATTTAGAATAAGCCGTAAGAAAATCAAGCAATGGTTAATGGAACAGGACACATACACTTTGCATAAGCCTCTTCGTCGTAATTTTAAACGAAATCGCGTGATCACGGGTAATATTGATCAGAGTTGGCAGATGGATTTGGCAGATTTACAATCCCTGCAGAAATTTAATGATGGATATCGATATCTTCTCGTATGTATTGATGTCCTCTCCAAATACGCCTGGGTGATTCCGTTGAAAAATAAAACAGGACCTTCCCTGGTCGAAGCTTTCAAAACTATTCTCTCCTCTGGACGTAAACCTGAAAAAATTATGACTGACCAAGGAACGGAGTTTTTAAACAGACATTTTCGAGCTTGATGAAAGAAGAAGATATCCAGTTGTACAATACGTATAACGAGACCAAAGCATCAATCGTAGAACGCTTGATTCGTACTTTGAAAACAAAAATGTGGCGGTATTTTACAGCAAAGAAAACCATGAGATACATTGACATGTTGCCAGATTTAGTTTATTCTTACAATCATAGTGTTCATCGTAGCATTAAGATGAAGCCTGCGGATGTTAGCATTGAAAACGAAAAGAAAGTATGGCATACTTTGTATGACGATCATAATGTTGGAAAAAATGTAAAGTACAAATTTAACATTGGTGATCAAGTTAGAATTAGCAAATTAAAACGAAAGTTTGAGAAAGGTTACTTGCCAAATTTTTCCAAAGAAATATTTACTATAAGTAAGCAAATTCCTCGCGATCCTCCGGTATATAAGCTAAAAGATTATGACGATGAGGAACTCGATGGAACGTTCTATGATAAGGAATTGCAAAAGGTCGTCAAACGTGACGACGTGTACGAAGTCGAAAAGATTCTTAAGAAACGTGGGAGGGGTGATAATATACAATACTTTGTAAAATGGTTAGGGTACCCGAACAAGTTTAATTCATGGGTACCCGCTTCAGAAATAAATAAAAACCTTTAAACGTGTACTTTCGTTGTTATATTCATTTGTATTTCACGATGAGCAGAGCACATTTTTATCTTACGCTTCCCAGCAATGCATCCTTAAATATCTTTCCCGATAACAAAACCACCAGTTACCGTGTTAAATTACCACAACCTGTTGATTTGAATGGTGATTGGGAAGTTGGTTTGTACTCCGTTTCTTATCCAAACACATGGTATACTCTTCAGAAACATGATAATAATATATATTGGGATGACGGCAAAGGATTTTATTTGGCGGCATCTGTAGAATATGGTTACTACAAAACAATGCAAGACCTTCTCAAAGCCACCAACAAGGCTCTGAAAAAAGAAACCCGTAACGATAACATCAATTTAACGTTTAATGCCGTAACCGGAAAAGTGACAGTTCACCTAAAAAGTGGCTATCGGTTGGTTTTGGCAGGAAGAATGTCTATTATCTTAGGATTTGGGGGAAAGGAAGTAAAATTAACAAAAACGACCATTAGTCCTTATGTTGCAGACTTGTTTGGTATGTCAACAATATACATTTATTGTGACGTTGTTCAACCTCAGATTGTCGGTGATACAAACGCAAAGTTACTCCGAAGCATTCCAGTCGAGGGAAAGTCTGGGGACATCATTACCAAGACGTTCACAAACATACAATATGTGCCAGTCCAAACTAAATCATTTGAGGACGTGGAGATTCTTTTAAGGAACGACACAGGCGATCCCGTGCCATTTGAACGCGGGAAGGTGGTGATAACACTACATCTCAGACAGCACAGTTATTTCTAAAAATGAGTAACCCGTACATTCGTTACTATCTTGATCAGCAGCAAGGGCGTGGTATGTCTGTTTTCAGAGGCAGACCATGGCAAATGGGTCATGGACAAATGGGTTTTGGACTAGGTGGTCTGTTTAAAAGTGTTGCCAGGGCAGTCATGCCAATTGTAAAAAGTGGAGCAAAAGCTCTTGGTAACATTGCCCTAAATACTGGAGCTAATCTATTAGGAGACGTTGCCTCGGGAAAAAATCTGAAGACAGCGATAAAAAGTCGAGGGCGTGAAGCCGTAAACATCGCAAAGGGAAAAGCCGTTAATCGAATAAAGACGTACGCTCAAACAGGAAGTGGAAAACGGAAAACAAAGAGAAACGCATCAATTAACAGGAAAAGTCGTCCCAAGAGACGCAAAACGACTAAAAAGAGAAAAGCATCAACATCCACAGCCAGAAGCAGACAGACCAAGAAGCGGAGAACAACTCGTGCAGAAGATATATTTGGTTAAACATGAATTTTGTGCATTCAAAATCTCCTGAAGGAATGAAAAGTGAACTTGATTTATTTGGAATACCATCAACACAAGTTGGATTGGAAAAAGGACATTGGATCGATCATCAACCGGTATCCAGTGTAGAAGACGGTGGTCCAATCACATTTCTGTGTCCAGGAACTGATGATTACGTTGACTTGTCGAAAACGATTCTTGTAGTGAGAGCAAAAGTGACAAAGGCTAATGGGCAAGATCTTGACGCAGACGAAAGAGTCGGAGTTGTAAACAATTTTCTGCACAGCCTTTTCAAACAAGTTGACGTCTTTTTGAAAGAAAAGCAAGTGACACAAGCTACTGGAACGTATGCATACCGTGCGTATTTGGAGACGCTGCTTAATTTCGGGATTGGTGCTAAGCAATCCCAACTCACCGCGGCTTTGTTTTATAAAGATACAGCAGGAAAATTTGATGTGTCCAATCCTGCAATAGCGGTTGCTGCTAACACCAACTATGGTCTTAAAAAGAGATATGAATTCAGCTGCCAGAGTAAAACGATTGAAATGGCTGGACCTATATTAGTGATGTGTTCTTTTCAGAACGTCTCCTGTTAAGCTTTGTAGACCTAAAAGTTATTCTGAATCGCAATATTAACGAGTTTTGTTTGATGGCTTCTGAAGATGATGCGGATTACAGAGTAAAATTGATGGATGTTTATCTGAAAATACGTAAGGTGAAAATTAGCCCAACCATTTCCATGGCCCATGAGATTGCATTGAAAAAAGGTCCTGCTATCTATCCTATCCGTCGTGTTGAATGTAAAAGTTTCATTATTCCAGCTGGAAATCCCTCCCTAAGAAAAGATAACATTTTCAACGGACTTGTCCCGAAATCATTTGTTTGTGGCTTGGTCGAAAGTGCGGGATTCAATGGCGCGTACAAACAAAATCCATTCAACTTTCAACATTTTGACATGTCCTTTATTGGAGCGTCTGTGAATGGCGAAGAAGTACCCTTGAAAGGCATGCAACTTTCCTTTGCCGGTGCAAATCCTAGATATATTGAAGCATTTTACACAATGTTCTCTGGCACGGGAAAGATGAACTACAACACTGGAAATGATATCTCACGCGATGAATACATAGGAGGAAACGTGCTTTTTGCATTGGATTTGACACCAGACATGTGTGGTAGTTCAACGCACTTTAATGCTGTTCAGAAAGGAAATTTCGCAGTTGACGTCAAGTTCTCTCGTGCGCCGGCAGCAGCTGTGAGTCTTGTCTGTTATGCAGAATTCGAAAACCTGATACAGATTGACGGTGAGAGAAACGTCATATATGACTATACCGGCTAGATGAATACCGGACAGATAGCTCGCGCATTGGAACAAGACTCTTTGACAAGTAAAACATTTTGCGGTGTGTTTCCAAGTGATAAATTACCTGAAAAAATTGAAAATTATCCTTGCGGTTTTGTTGCAAACACAGATCCAAGCACTGAACCTGGAACGCACTGGGTGGCCTTTTACTTTCCATCAGAACACAACGGAGAATTTTTTGACAGTTATGGGCAACCGCCGGAATTCTACTCATTTGGGGACATTTTCAAGGGATATTCTTATGAATTTAACAATCGCAAACTGCAAAGCAATTGGTCGGATGTTTGTGGTCAATATTGCATATTCTATCTAAGTCATAGGGCACGTGGACATAGCATGAATAAGATTGTTCAGTTATTTAGTAAAAATACATTGTTAAATGATGAAAAAGTATCTCATTTTGTTAAAAATAATTTTAAAGTAATGTTGAAAGAATCAAATGCTGTAGAACAACAAAGTAAAAAGTTGTTTAAATAAATGTTGTCAAAAAGAAATCAACGTGTGTGTGTGTGAAAAAAACAATTAAAACGGGTTGGAAAATAACCATTTATTTATTTATTAGAACATGCAGTTACAAAATTCAATATTTAATCCATTGTTTTGGAGTTTTCTCCTGTGTATCATGTCTCTTCAACAGTCTTTCAAAATAAGCTGATGATGGGCTTGATCGTTTGGGTGTACTGACAACGGATTCTCCTCCTGCAGACAGAGTATCCATTTGTTTTAACCTTTCCTCATTTCTCACAATGTCTGTAGGTATGTTCATCTTGGACAAAACAGTAAAAAATTCTTTCGATCCTTTAGGATTAAAATTCTTTCTTCTTCTCATAGCGTCGCTGATCAAATCAGAAATGTTTGAACGTGGAACCTTTTTACCGTCCAAGGTAACTTCTCCAGTCTTATCCCAAGAAATAACGTCAGGTCTCGTTTTCAAACGGTTCAACAATGCTGTCGCTCTTAAACGCATTGTTTTGGGTATATTATCTACAATCACGGAATCGGGCAGGGGGTTAATTTCGTTTGCCCCGTCGTCTTTTTCTGTATTTTTCTCCGTGCCAGCCTAACAGTTGGGATCCTCATCCTTTTGTTGCCTGAGATTCATAAAACGTTCCAGATTGGCATAGTATAGTTTCTGTTTTTGCGCATCATCAATATCAGAGCGTTGAAGAATATCTGACATTTCTCCATCTGTCTTAATCATGTTTCTTACAATTGGCGACGTTTCAATTTTTGCTTTTGTTCGTATCTAGCAAACACGTCCTCGGGGACCAGTATCATTCGTTTTGCATGCTTCATTTTGCTAACAAACTTCCGAGGACACTTAGGACCGGTGGCAAAAGAGCTGTAAGTAAATTCCCACCTTTTTGATTAATATATTGCTTCTTTCGTTTTCTTGACACTTTCTTATTTGCCAACGCACGGAGATGTGTCCTGTAGCGCACTAAACGTCGCTTTTGAATTGGTGTTAGTGGAATAATACCTTTAAGTAGATTCAAAGAGCATTCGCAAATAGCTGTGATGACATCTGCAGGACAATGTTCGATAAGCAGTTTACGCAACTTAGGTTTAGACTTTACCATAACTTGAAGATACGGAAGACTTTCTTTCATGCGCTTCGACTTTATACTGATAGCCGTTGGTCAACGCGCGTAACTTAAGTACGTTTCACGTAGACGACTTGTCTTTCTCCAGGAAGAATAGATGTTCTGAGACGCATATTCTCCGGCGTCAACTGATGACAATCAACCATCAGATAACCATAAGGCTTATTTGTAGCATCATGGAATGCCTCCAAAAGATAATTCATGTTATTAGGAAACATCTGTTTTGCTAGTGTTGCAATACCGAGCGAGTCACGTGGATTTCGGAATATTAGCATGTAGTGGGAATTCAAACTTATCGTCCGTGATAACTTTCCTGGTGGGAACAAGTTCTGCGTAAGATAGAGAACGGATATACCCCGATGATGAGAGCCACGCGTAAATAAATCTGCTACCCGTTGATCGTTGGAACATTGAGACATCAAATCATCTAGTACGACAAGAGAGTTATCGTGTCCTTTTACCAAATCGTATAAATCGTCCGGAAACCCCTCTACTAGTATAAGATTAGGAAACTTTTGCAACAGCTGTTCAAATTCTTGCTGATATATACCGTAGCAGTATATTATATTGGTTGGAACTGGATTGAAAAGTTCTTCTAAGTTATGCAACATTTCGAACCAAATAAGATTTCCCACTTTGGCTTTGTCCACAAACATAAAAGTTTGCAGGCGTTTTAAATCGCACATCCATCGCGGATACACACACAATGAATTTCATGATACATATCCATGTGTTTTATAGAGAGAAAATGTGTTTGATAAAAGAAATCATTCGGTCGAAAAGGCTCTGTTTGACCTTAAACTCCTCAAAATCGAGGCTCTGAAGTCGTGTAGCAACGAGTCTTACGGCTCCACGCGTGACCTCCTCGGAGTTTTTCATCAAGGAAACCAATGCTAAGTAGGCCATTGCGCGACCAAAGTTGCTCACATTGATTTCATAAAAAATAACTACCAAATCAGAAGAATTTAAAACCGCCGATTGGTATGTAGACTTGTGTTGCACAAGTAAATAATTGATATGATGAGTTAACGTTTTCATATTAATATCGACGTTATTCTTTTGGAGCTCGTCTAAGATGACCTCCATTATTAGCAGCGCGAAATCACAAATGATACAGTAGTGTGTAAAACATTTTATTTATGTCAACAAAAATAAAGATCTCGGTAATATGATGGTATGAACGGTTCTTCAACACTGATTTGTTCATCGGGTACCCATTCAAAAAATCGACACGAGTCCTTCTTCCCATTGGGGCAACAAAAGAACATACGATCTTTATTGATGCCTTCTTTCTTCACCTTTCGCAATGTACACGATAGCCCATGATGACAGGACGGTTTCGTTGTTGGCTTCACATCACCCCACGTCCAAAAGGAACATGGATCCTTCTTGTCAGAGCATACAAAAAATGGTCTTCCAAAACTTCCTTTCATTAAATCTTTAACCACACGCATTTTTGTAGATTTTTTATGTGTGTCACATTTCGGCTGTGATTGATTCGTAACTCGCCAAGCAGCAATGGCTTTCTCAAATAGATAACCATCATCTTCCGTGCAAAAGAAATTACAACTAGGATTTTGACCACAGAACCAAAACGAACTGTTCTTCGTTGTCGCAGTAGAAGCAGGCTCCCCGTGCAAACATTTCATCGCTTAATCTTGACTTAAAAAATATCAAACAAGCTCTCCCAAGTGAAATTCGCAAACACTGATGATATCCAGCGTTTATGCCCCAAATTTATACTCTGAAGACAACACTGAAAACCAATAAGATCATCGGATGACAATCTTAGATGTCTCCTCAGACGTCTGACCCTGCATATCTTAGTCAGATTGTGTTGTGAGAAGACTTCGAATTCAGTTGAACACAAACTTTGACGATGGAAAGTTCGAACAAGGTATTCCATTTGTTGGAAGTAATGTATGCCAATGCTGTAGAACGCGAGGTTCAAAGAACGCGCAGTAAACTTTGCTGTGGTTGTAAAGTAAGAGATCAAGACTGTTTAATGCTAGACGAGTACGAGACGTGGCAGTTGTATGGTTTCGAAGCCTTAGAGCAAGTTAACAATACATGCATGATATGGAGTGAGTTTGTTGAAGTAACAAGAGTCTTAGACCTTAAGTGGTATGATGATGTATCTCAGCACTGGAAACAACTTACGAAAGATCCAGATTTTATACTGATCGAGTCCTTAATGAACGTAAAAGATCCTAAAGTTCAAAGTGCATTGAACCAGCTGTCTTATTGGAAAGGAGATTCATACCAAACTGATCCACTAGAGTCAGGTGTCGTTGCCTTTTTTTGTCATCCACCTATCTTTAAGTACACGGTTAAAACAACAGGAGAACAATTTACAAGTGATGAGAACAATCATCACAAAGCATACAAAGAATATTTAAGAAATGAACTCTTAAAATGAACATACAAATGTGTAATTCTCAGTAGTAAAATAAAATATACTCTTCGCAAATTCTTACTGCGTGATAAGTAAACCGGCATTTGGGTAATTTGAGTAAGATGTTGTCAAACATATCCTGCGTATTTACGCTATTATGCGTATTTACGCTATTATGCGTATTTACGCTTTATTGTTTATCCCGCCCCTCGCGCATTATCCTACTCGCGCCTGGAGACCACGCACCTCTTCGGGAAAATCCGACAGTTTCCGACGTCCCGCGTGGGGTCCACGCGTTGCGTGTTTTCCTCGCTGGATGGGGGGGGCTACCTACTTTGATAATCTTTGATACCTTGAATAAGAACAGCATTACAGTATTAAATGGTTGAAGAACTTAACAAATTGTTTGAAAATGTGAATATTGAAGGTAAATTCTTATATTTTCTGCAATCGCGCATAATACATCTTCGGATTCTTCGATAGTTTCTTCCGCCATCTTGAATACATTTTCTGCCAGGCGCGTTCTCCCCCACGCTGTCGCTTCGTGCGTGTCCTCCCGCGAGACAAACATTACTACGCGATTAATATTAATAAAACACCGAATAATAAAACACGCGCCGGGGACGAGGCTGATACCGCCTGTTGTGAGCGACTATAGCTATGCACGGTGGACACGTCGCTATTCCATAATTTCGGCCAAATCGTGTGATGGACTTCTTGCGAAGTGTTTGTTAAAGAATCCCGAGGAAAGATTTGAAACACGCTCCTTTATCCATTTTCTTGATGAACAGCTTTTGCCAGCTATGAATCGATTTGATGGGGAAAACCCGCGATCCGTTCTCGTTATGGGTGAGATTTGAATATAATTAGTGCAAATTCGCTGTTCTAACATATGTCTCAAGGGATGACTGAATTTGTGATCATGTTTTGATCTATTAATATCTGTTTAATTAAACAAAACTTGTTGATGCACAACTAGATGCAACTACTAAAACTAGTAATATGCATATTTTTTAACAGATAACCACCCAACACATTATGTACAAGATGTTGTAGAACGAGTGTACGACAGTCCTGATTTGAATCCTATTGAAGAGGTTTACATATAGCTTGCTATCTCATTCAACTGTATTTGCGGCGTAAGCAGTCCTTGATAATATATTCTTCGTGTGGGAATAAAGATAAGCTCGCTTTTGGGCGACCGATACGGCAAAGCTTCACATCACCCGTGTTCCAAAAAGTGCTGAGAGTACGATAGACGGTTTTTGAACAATAAAATAGCTGTGCTGCAATTTCTTCGATGATTCTTTCGTAGAAAAGTCGTTGATAAACCATTCTCCACCTTAAATCATCTGAATATGGTCTTGGCATTTTCTAATCGTTCACCTTGCTATACTCGAACTCGCAATTAACACGCTTGTACAATCCCACGCGTGTTGAATAATAATGTCACGTGATCGATATATACATATACTTGCTCAGGACAACCTTTTTGACAACGACAGTATATATATATATATATATATATATATATATATATATATATATATATATATTTTTCATTACAATTTTTGAATGAATAAGTTGCTACTTTAAGTTTCATGCAACAAGCAATCATCAGGCAACATACTAATTACGGTTAAGATGTCACGTATAGTTACTACTCGCGATGTATTTGTTAACGCGTGTTCGTTTAAACTGTCCAGCGTGGAATTTGCGCGCGTGCACACATTTTGTGAAAAGTTCACTTTTTTTGTTTAAGTTAGACCTAGAATAACAATTACGTAGTATTTGCAATTTCTCCTCTTAACATAAATTACACGATTTTCCTCCAGCCTTGATTGAATTTGCTAGGGAAACGATAGACCACTTAATATTATATTGTTTTTCATTTTGTTTCAATTTCCAAACATGCTTAGATAGTTCCGTTTGTTTTTCGTATCTAATGTCGTTGAATGACCTCTTGTGATTTCTGTATCTCTCTTTAAATGTTGTCGCTGTCATACCAATGTATGTTTTCGTTTCCTTCGGGTCTTCGGCTTCCACCTTGGCCTTATAAACTAGATTTTTTGTCAAGCACATCTTATTTAGCGGGCACTCGTTCATGTTCCTGCAGTTGCATAGGTTTTTATTTTTGTTGCCGTTGTCGGCAACAAGCAAATCTAACAATCATCTCATCTAACAAGCAAATCTTTGAATCTGTTGCTCCAATTTACAACGACTCCCTGAAGCACAGTAATTACACCTCTAAACTCCATTTTTCAACCCAAGAAACCAAATCCTCAACTGAAAGCCAATCCTAGCGCAAAAGAGCCAGAAAAGTCATTTGTTTCAACCCTCCATGCATACAGTAAGACCGTACAAACCAATGTCGCTCGGGAATTCTTGAAGTTAATTGACGAACATTTTCCCAAATATTCACCCCTCCATAAAATATTAAACAGGAACACTGTCAAAGTTAGCTATAGCTGTATGAATAATATTAAAAGTGTCATATCAAAGTGCAATAAATGCGTGCTCAAAGAATATCGTTGCCAACAACCCGACAACGGCAACAAAAATAAAAACCTATGTAACTGCAGGAACATGAACGAGTGCCCGCTAAATAAGATGTGCTTGACAAAAAATAGGTACGCTAAGCGTACGTGTATCTGCTCACAACAAATTAGTTTGGACAGCAAATGGACCATATGGATTTGGCCATGATTTTTAATTTCCTACACTATTTTACCGCCGTTCAAGCAATAGGAAATATGCTTAGTAATATGTAGTAATGTCAGAAATGACAGTAATATAGACGTGCTCTGTTTTGGGAGGTCTCACTGGCTTGTTTGCGTTTCCTATATTCCCTTGCATATGCTCTTTGCTTTTGCTTAGCATCAGGGCTCTGCATTTCATTAGCTCGTTTTTCCTTCATGTATTTTTTCATATATTCTGTTCCTCTTTGCTTAGGCTGAGAGCTTCTATTTGACTGTTCAGGTCTTCAGGTTTAAGAAGTACCTGATGGCAAAGTTGATACATAATGATACTCATCTATATGACCTAAATAAATATCTCTAAGTTGATCTGTTGGTGAATATCCCAGTACTATAATGGATTCAGGAAATTGTTCATGTGTCTCACTAATGACTATCTTTAACTTCAGCTGATCAGCCACAGCTTGTATAATCATAGCATCACCCCATGACCCTTGCATGGACATAATATTGAGGTATTCTAGCCATGAGTTTTCAGTGTTACTTTCAATGAATCTCTCAGGATTAGCCCTCATATAAGCAATGCCAAATGCTCGAACTTGTAGATGGTGATCAGGGTCACCATACAACTGATGAGACCCAGCTCGAAAAAGGCAGTCGCCATCACCACCAACATCAAATGGTCTTAAATATAATGAAAGCGTTGCAGCCTTTGATGACAGTCTAGTGGAACTGTTGTTTTGAACAGGACCAGGTATTCTTTCAATATCTGAAAACATTAGTTTCCTTTGAGATATGTGACATTGTTTACTAGCAATATTGGCTGCTATCTTGTGACTGTATAAAACATTACAAAATGATTTTTTTACTATATAAATGTTTTTTTCTACTAAGTTGACAAAAGACTTTAAATATCCGAATAAATTGATAAAAATATGTCGCATTGGCACAAATTGAAAACAACATTGCTTGAAATTACTAGCTATCTTATTTAAAATGGATGACCTAGGGGCATTTCTTACAAAATAATGCTTTAAAGTGGTGGATCTACTTTTTCTCTTTCTCATAGCCAATATAATTCTCTTTAAAGGCAACCTGAAAGGTGCAAGGTCTCTAGATCGCTTGGTATTTGTCTGCTTTGTCAATTTCCGTACAGTCGGTCAGTGGCGACAACAGCAGCTACGCGTGTATTGTATAATGGTTCGCTGGTGAATTTCTTTACGTTTCGTTAATCGTCTCAGAAGAGATTGTTTTGATCTCCGAAGAGATTGACTATTTACCTCATGCGGCCGGATAAGTTTCCATGTTCAGAAAAACTTCGATAAAAAAACACAGAACAAGATTTCTTGAAGCCAAAATTACAATACCGAGTCACGAGTATATGTTTATATTTTCTGCATGCTTTAGGTTATGGACTCATGGTGTGAGCGCGTAATAAACTAATCGCTGATTGGCTAATTATATAAGCGCATCGCTGAATGGCTATGTGTTAACATACGGTACGCGCACGATAGCAATATAATATATGCGTTCGCAGATAAAAAAAATCTAGTTTATAAGGCCAAGGTGGAAGCTGAAGACCCGAAGGAAACGAAAACATACATTGGTATGACAGCGACAACATTTAAAGAGAGATACAGAAATCACAAGAGGTCATTCAATGACATTAGATACGAAAAACAAACGGAACTATCTAAGCATGTTTGGAAATTGAAACAAAATGAAAAACAATATAATATTAAGTGGTCTATCGTTTCCCTAGCAAATTCAATCAAAGCTGGAGGAAAATCGTGTAATTTATGTTTAGAGGAGAAATTGCAAATACTACGTAATTGTTATTCTAGGTCTAACTTAAACAAAAAAGTGAACTTTTCACAAAATGTGTGCACGCGCGCAAATTCCACGCTGGACAGTTTAAACGAACACGCGTTAGCAAATACATCGCGAGTAGTAATACGTGACATCTTAACCGTAATCAAAGAATACGTATTATAAAGAAGTGTAACTAGAGATTATTTTTGTGTCCTCAAATTTTCCCCAAATGTACACGTCATGTACACGCCACGTGTTTCATAAACATTGTGCAAAATAATACGAGAAGACACAACGCCAGTAATAAATAAAGACAAACCCGACACCAAACAAATATTGCTAAAGGCGATGACAACATAATATATTTGTAATAACAAAGAAGAGAGAAAACAATATAATAATAGAGAAAACAATATGGCCGACAATTATCTTACCGCTGAATAAGATAGAATACAAGTTACTTCATATATTAATACATATAACAAACTAACTAACTACTTCATGTAACTCATAAATTTTAATGGCGCAAGATATATGAAGCATAACAGATAGCAAAAAAGCCGTGTAAGAGAAATAATTCATAATCTGCGAGCTTACAAGTGTTTTCAAAAGGCACGTGTTTACTTTATTTCGTACTTGTTTCGCGGTAAGTATGAGCTGTATTATTTTGTATATATATTTTTTCAGCTTTGTATGTCATTTATTTGTTCAATTTTCAGCTTTATATAATAATTTATTATAATTTTTAATAATCAGCTTTTTATACAAACGCATAAACTAGTGAAAGGCTACTACCCCTTTGCTTTAACTTCAAAAAGTGTTTTTGAAAATGTAATTTGAATTTTGATATCAAAAATACACAATATTAAAGTATAAAGCTTTTTATAGCCGTCAACTGCATTACAGAATAAAATAACATTTGAGGTTTTTTCTCTGTCTTTGTTTTTTCTTTGTACTGTTTTAACCGTTTGAAACTTCGATTTTAAACCATTACTTAATTGCAGGCAGGGTATAATGCAGCAAAAATGTAAAATTGAACAGGCAATGTTTTTATGATTATTTTTGTATTGAATGATCCAAACATTAGCTATAATATGAAATATATAAAAATACATTTGAGTTTTGTGTCCTTTAATAATATAAGTTTAGTTCAAGTTAGCCCAGGAAACTGTGTACTTGGTTTGAAATAGCAAGGGGTTGCTACATGCATGTATTTTGTAATTTTTAGGGTTAAATTTAACTTCGCTTGGGCTATTAAGATGCGTAAACTTTACATGTTTACCTAAACCCACTGCTTACTTAAGAACGACAGATTGAACAGAAATAATTGACACTAAGATCATTACTGCATTAATTATTCACCGAAACTGTCAAGCTTGGAAGGAATAGCAATTAATATTTGCGAAAGGCCAAAAAGTATATTTACTCATGAGTTTTTTGTTGTAAAAATTAATTATTCATCACCGTCATGTCTAGCGGCACTTCACTCTTCGCAACTATTTCAATATTCATATACTGAACACAATACTGAAAATTACAACAAACAATGCGATTAAAATTAACATTTTACAGGAAAAATATAAATGCGACGTGATTCGCCTGTGTTCATGATCAAATGAGTCAACCCTATAATATTATTGCAATCACTTGCACCAGGCATCTATAACATTGTTTTAATTGAATAGCAGAGTTTATTTGCTATGATCTTTTTCTTAAATGCGACCTGAAACCGACAATGTTAAGACAAGGAAAAGGACACAGCTTCCGTTTTATTTTAAAAATTTAAAAGACTGTAAAATTGTAACCCATCATTTTGTAACAACAGGACAATGCCATTAAAACTCGAGCATTAAGATTCGAGAAATTTATACCATAATAGACCTTTCCCTAGAAATAATTGTATAGCCAAAAATTACGTTTCAGAATGAATCAATGAATTTTTCACCGCTGTAAGCTTTGTCCCCTCGCCGGGTAGACATTCTTACCTGCACTTCCTTCAAATTCTAACACTACAAAATTGATATCGATTCAGAGAGTTTACGATAAAAAAACCATAACCAGTAGACAATTTGTTGAAATACAAGAAAAAGATAATCCGAAAAATGACACTTTGTAAACTCAAGATAGAAATGGTATGACAATGAAATTTTGTTTTGTTGTCTAGAGCTTAGAATACCCAAGATTTTCTCTTGATGTGCGGCTCTGTATTTAAATTTATCAATTATAATATCAGCAATAAAGCCTGGATGTATTCAGGACCATCTTCAGGACGGCTCAGAAGCTTTATTGGGGAAGTGTAGTCTCACGTTTAATATTCCACTAAAAAGATCGCGAGTCGCGAATAAACTTCGAAAAAAAGAATGCAGAATGCTGAAGCGCCTACATTAACTGACCCTCTTTAAATTCCGCAATGTACATAGTTTCCCATCTTTCGCGTGTTGTGAATCAACCGTTGTCAAAATTACCAGAAACACTTTGATTAAAATGAACATTTTGCAGAAAAAAATATAGGGGACGTCATCCGCCTGTCTTCAAATGAGTCAGCTCTATATAGGGCTGTTAATTGCAACAGGCATCTACAACATTGCTTTCATTGCGTAACAGGTGCTTTCTGTCACTGCAATAACTGCATAAAGTTAATTATTTTGCTATGATCTTTTCCTCAAACGTGATCTCAAACCGACAATTAAAACAAGGAAAAGGGCACAACTTCTGTCTTGTCTTGAATATCTAAAAGACTCTAAAATTATAACCAATAATTTGAAACAACACTGGACCTTGCCATTAAAACTGGAGCATTAAGATTCGAGAAATTTATGCCTTAATAGAATTCTCCCTAGAGAAATTGCAGCCTAAAATTACGTTTCCGAATGAATGAATTTCACACCACTGTAAGCTTTGTTCACTCGCCTGGTGGACATTCGTACCTGCACTTAAATGAGCACGTTTCGCTTATAAAATATATGTCGCATTATACTATTTTTTCTTTAAAATACAAACACTACTAAAGAGACTAAGAGAGCTTAGGATATAACAAAGATATTTCTTAGTGATGCGCGGATCTGTATTTAACTTTATCAATAATTGTAACTAATATCAACCAGTTAAAGCCAGGAAGTATTTAGGACCATCTTCAGGACATCTCTGAAGGTTGATTAGGGAAGTGTAGTTTCAAATTTAGAATTCCACTGAAAAGATCGCCGGTCGCGAATAAATTTCGAAAAAAGAATGCGGAATATTAAAGCGCCTACCTTGACCGATCCTCTTAAAATTCCTCACTGCACATGGTTTCCCATCTTTAGCGTGTTGTGAATCAACCGTTGGTAAAATTACCAGAAACAACACGATTGAAATTAACATTTTGCAAGACAATTACAAATGCGACGTGATCGCCTGTATTCAAATGAGTCAACTCTACAGGGCAGTCAATTTAAACAGGCAACTATATAACATTGCTTTATTTGCATAACAGGTGCTTTTTGTCACTGCAATAATTGTAGTTTATTTGCTATGATCTTTTTAACAAACGCGATCTGAAACTGACAAAGATAAGACGAGGAAAAAGACACAGCTTCCGTTTTGTCGCAAATATTTAAATTACTCTAAAATCATAACCAATATTTTGTAAAAATTACCACAAACAAAACGGTTAAAATTAACATTTTGCAGGAAAAATACAAATACGACGTGATCTCCTGCATGTATTCAAACGAGTCAACTCTTTAGGGCAGTCAATTGCACCAGACATCTATAACAATGCTTTAATTGCATAGCAGGTGCATTTTGTCCCTGCAATACTTGGAGTTTATTTGCCATGAACTTTTTCTCAAACGCGATCTGAAACCGACAAAGGCAACTTCATGAATAATTAAAAGCTGTAAAATTATAACATATCATTTTGTAACAGAGGACCTTGCCATTAAAACTCGAGCATTAAATTTCGAGCAATTTATGCCGTAATAACCTT